CTCCAAGGCTCTTTATGAATATACTGTAAGAATGTGATGGATCGCAGCCCTCTAAATCTCCATTCTCAAATTTTCACAAAATCTTAAAAAAGGGTAAATTATAAATATGCCCCTGATGTTTGTAAAATATTCTCACTCTCTCTATGGGAGCTTGCATTTTAAGATTAGTATCCAGAGTTTGGTACTGAGGTGCGGTGTTGCCTTTGAGTCAAACTTGGTTCTAAATCATGACACAATGCAATTATACAATTGGATTTGTTGATTGGGATTTTATTTTATTTATTTATTTTTATTTTTTGTCAGTCAAACTTGGTTCTTATGTAGTTATAATTTGATTAGCAGTGGTAGCACTAACTGGTGTGCATTTAAGTTTTAATTTCTTTTAAATTGCAGAGCATTGGCTGGTGTGCATTATTTGATATTTTAATTTTTTTATATTTGATTTGTTTGGAATTGTAGAGTACAGTCTGTTAAATATATTTTTATAACTGCATTTTAATTTTAATATTATTTACACCGTGCCTTTAGGCACGGGCATACGCTAGTATATATATAATATACAATCCAAGACTTGCTGGGAAAGCTTAAGAAGCACTAAGTCTAAAATAAAGTAAACAAAACAACTGAGTCTAAGAGACAGCATAAGAGAGACGACCAATACGGAGTTACGGAGTGCAACGCAACGCCTAGCCCAGCTCTTGTCCTGACTCCTCAAGAAGGTAATCAAATAAATTTGCTCTCAACTTTAATATTCTCATTGTTGATCTTTGTGGCTTTTTTGGGATTAAAGTTATATTATATCATATATGGGTTTGCTTTTTTGGGTTTGCTTTAAAGTTATATTATATCATATATGGGTTTGCTCTCAACTTTAATTTGCTTTAATTTTTTGGGAAGGGTATTAAATAAATTTGCATACAGTTGGCTCAATTGTGAGATAGTGATGGATTGAGCTTTTATTATACTCATATTTCTGTCTATGTTGGTTGAAGTTTCAATAATTTATGTCTGAGATTAATTGGGATTTATGCAATATGTTTTCTTTTTTTTCTTCAGTTAGTTTTTTGAGCTTATATTATACTCATATTTCTGTCTATGCAATATGTGCCCTAATTGTCTGTTAGTTTTTTATTCAAATACAATTATTATTTATGTCTAAGAATTAATGGGCTTATTTGAGGTGATTGTTTTCATATTTATGTCTGTTGATTGAAGTTTGAATATGGGTGGTCCAATTGTCTGCTAGTTTGTGATTCAGGTACAATTGTTAAGTTAATCATGGCGAACAAAAAAATTGATTTCTTCTTTAAGAAAAGAGGTTCTGAAAATATCGTTCAAAGTTCCACCAATAATGTTGAAACTTCAACTCCTTTGGAGCAACGTCCTTCTAAACTTCCAAGAGTCGAATCTAAAGATGTTGATACATCTTCTTTGGTGAGGGATCCGGGGTTGCGTCAACAAATATGGGATTATCCGGTATCTGAATGTGATGAGATCAGACGTGCTTATATCAAATCCGGGCCATATCAACCCAAGGCTCCGAACAATCAACCTTTTGAAACTGATAAGAATGGGCGTCGTTTTTTAGATTCTTGGTACAAGTTATTTCCGGATTGGTTGGAATACTCTCCAACAAAAAATCGTGCGTTTTGCCTTCCATGTTTTCTTTTTACTAAGCCAACTGGACGCCCTGGATCTAGTGCTTTTACAATCGAGGGATTTTCTTCTTGGAAGAAAGTCAATAAAGGGAAGAATTGTCCTTTGTTATCGCATATGGGCAAGGATCCTCCTAACTCATCGCATAGAGTTGCTATCAAATGTTGTTGTGATTTAACAAATCAAGCGCAACATATTGAGGCAATTATTGAAAAACAAACTTCTATACAAATTGCTAGAAATCGTTTGCGATTGAAGACCTCGATAGATGTGATTAAATGGTTAACATTCCAAGCCTGCGCTTTCAGAGGTCGTGATGAACGCCACGAATCTAACAACCGAGGGAATGTTATTGAGTTGATAAAGCTCTTGGCTTCTTATAATGAGGATGTGGCAGCAGTGGTTTTGGAAAATGCTCCTCAAAATGCTTCTTAGCATTCCCATGGGATTCAAAAGCAGATTCTTAGTATTTTCTCTAATAAGATACAAAGATTCATTCGTGAGGAGATTAATGATGGGAAGTTTTTCATTCTAGTTGATGAATCTGAAGATGAATCGAAAAGAGAGCAAATGGCAATTGTTTTGAGATTTGTTGATAAATATGGTTTTATAAAAGAGCGTTTCTTTGACATAGTTCATATGTTAGATACCACGTCAGCAACTTTGAAAGAAGAAATTTGTATTGTCCTTTCTCGTCATAACCTTAGTGTGCAAAATATTAGTGGTCAAGGATATGATGGTGCCAGTAACATGTATGGAGAATGGACTGGGTTGCAGGCTCTATTTTGTGTTGAGTGTCCATTCGCATATTATGTTCATTGCTTTGCTCATCGGCTCCAATTGGCTTTAGTAGGAGCATCTAAACAGGTTATATCTATCAATCAATTTTTCTCTTACTTGACTCAAGCAATTAATATAGTTGGCTCATCTTGCAAAAGACATGATCAATTAAGAGCTGCTCAGGCTGCAGATATTGCTGAAAAGCTTGCCATTGATGATGAATTCGAGACTGGTAAAGGAAAAAATCAGATTGGAACATTGAAACGAGCTGGAGATACTCGATGGGGTTCTCATTTGAGTTCCATTTGTAGTTTGATAAACATGTTCAGTGCTACTTGTGCAGTCCTAAGAAACATAATTAATGATGGAAGCAAATCGAATCAACAAGCTGAGGCAGATGGAGCTTATGATTCCATTACATCTTTTGAGTTTGTCTTCATCTTACATCTTATGAGGGATATCATGGAGATTACTGATGATCTTTGCCAAGCTTTGCAAAGTAAATCTCAAGATATATTAAATGCAATGCATTTGGTGTCTACAACGAAGATATTTATTCAAAAATTTAGAGAAGATGGATGGGTTCCATTGTTGGAGAAAATTAAATTATTTTCTAATGATCATGGTATACAGATTCCTGATATGAGTTGTCCTTATAAAGGAGGCCGAGGTCGGTCTCGTTCTGAAAGAGATCAGCTCACCATGGAACATCATTTTCGAGTTGATATTTTTATGGTTACAGTTGATTCCCAGTTACAAGAATTAAAAATAGGTTTAAGGAAGATGTAATGGAATTGCTTGTTCTTAGCTCAGCTTTGGATCTTGGGAATGGTTATAGATCATTCAACATTGAGGATATTTGCAAACTTGCAGATAAATTTTATCCCATGGATTTCTCCGAGCAAGAAAAATTGCATTTGAAGTATCAGTTGGAAAACTATAAGCTTGATATTTCCACACTTCTCGAGTTTTAGAAGCTGTCAACCATTTCTGAGTTGTGCCAAATGTTGGCAAAAACAAAAAAGTCGACAAGTTATCCTCTTATTGATAGATTGATCCGTCTTGTGTTGACTTTACCTGTTTTAACTGCTACATCAGAACGTGCATTTTCAGCTATGAAACTCGTTAAGTCTAAATTACGCAATAGGATGGAAGATGGTTTTCTAGCTAGTTACTTGATTACGTACATTGAAAAGGACATTGCTCGAGGGTTTGATGTAGACTCTATCATCGATGATTTTGATATTATGAAAGAACGTCGAGCTCAATTGAAAATGCCTAATTTTAGTAAATAAATGCATGTAGAAATAGTTACTACTTTTTGTAAGTGAATATGAGCAAAAAAATATTCTCAATTGTATGATCATCTTTTGGTACTCAACTATGTTGACAAGGAATATATAGTTCAATATTTATTATAATATTATTGATTTTTTTTCATCCTAATAGAAATTGGTATTGAACTTCAAATTTTATTGGTTAGAGGTTAAACGTACTTTGGCACCCCCAAAGTCATAATCCTAGATCCGTCCCTATTACCATGGCTCTCATTGAACCCTAACTTCAAATCAAATGATGAATTTGAAGCTTTTGGGAAGAAATAATTGACAGACAGAGAGAAATTGATCGATTGGGAGAGAAAGTGAAGGACATACATTGTGAGGTTGTGCGAAGTCACGCAATCAATCAAGGCAATGCTCGAAGTCACGCGATCAATCAAGGCAATGCGCGATTGATTGGGAGAGAAAGTGAATGACATACATACCTTTGAATAACTTCTCCGAATGAGAACATGCCTCAAACAGACTCGAACGGGGAGAGGGAGAGAGAGAGAGAGAGGGTTTGGGGCAAAAATAGGTATAGATTTTGGATAGATGGTTGAAAGTTGGTTTTTTTATTTTTATACTTTTAATGTATAAAAGATGTGAGAGATGATATGACTTAAAATGAGTTAAAAATTAAAAAATGACTTTTAACCATCTTTGCAAAATTGCCATGGAGTGTGGTGAATGGGGCTTAAAATAATGTTTTTGGCCTTTTTGTTTTTGTTTTTGTTTTTTTTAAGTTATTGTAAGTTTTTAAATATTTTAAATAAATTTTTTTTTTACTTTTCAAATTCAAATAATTTACATATATGTAGAAGGAAAATATTATTTAATTTTCTAAAAAAATTACTAAATTCAAAAAATATATAATTTATACATTTTCATATATATTATATTTTTTTACAAATATTTTATTAGATTAGGCACATCTAAAAAGTTTTTAAAAAATTAAATTATTAAAAGAAGGGAAAATATCAAATCAAGGTAATTTTGAAAAAAATAATTACAAATTAGTGAGAAGCAAAATTGAGCATTATCACCCTCTAATAATAATTCATCATATAGAAAGAATGTTGAAATTTTTTCTCATAGAAGTTTTCATGGCATACATTAGCTTGTGGTGTAAAATTATGATATATTATGACAAATTATTTTTTACGTTTTCCTCAATTAGGAAAATTTAAGGTGAGAACCTTGGTTGGAAATTGTTAACTTTTTTTAAATTAAAAAAAAAAAATCGAATTGAAATTTTTTTTAATAGAAGTTTTCACGACATGCTAATGCATACGATGTAAAGTTATAATATTTTACGATATGAAATGTATGTCATCTTAATTGTAAATATTGTATGACATATTTTTGTATGCCGTTAAAATATACATTTTTTATGACATACTTTTGCATGCCATAAAAAAAAATAGATTGAATTTTTATTTTTTATTTTATTTTATTTTTTTTGTAGAAGTTCATGGCATGTCAATTGTGATATCCTTGTTCCGTAATATGTTAATTGGTCCTTAATATGAGTATGATTATGTGTTTAATATGATTTTGTGTGCCATTATGTGAAAATATGTGGTTTTGAATTTCTATCTATTCACTGTAGGAATATCTGTTTGATTATCTGCTTTGAAAATTAAATTGAAGGCCCTATCGGCACCAAAATCGGAATTGATCGCGCCATAGTGATTGGCATAATTTTTAGAGCCTACGGTGAAGTTTAATTGAAAAATTGATTCGAATTAGATTAAATTGATTAAATTGGTGAACTAGTGCCTAATTATTTATTATTATTATTTTGGTGCTAGTGGGAACTTATGTAAAGAGGCACTATACACTTAATTGATACACTTGAGCTCAAAAATCAGATTTTGTGCCTTGAAAGAGAGAGAAGGCCGGCTATAGAGAGAGAAAGGGAGAGAATTGTGTGATCTTGGCTCAAGGTTTGGGAATTTGAAGATTAAACTCAAGATTTTGCTATAGATTAGGAGAATTAAGCCTCTAGGTAAGTGAATTCATGAATTGTAAGGTATTGTCTTGTGAATTCAAGTTTCAATAATGGTCAAGAACATGGATTAAATTGATTATGAGGAATTGAGTTGATTTTGTTGTATTTGAAGTCATTAGAGGCATGCATGTAGGAAATTACTATAAATTTCCATGTTTAAGCATAAATTGTGTAATCCATGATGAATCTTGTTTGAAATCCATGTATTTGATCATCTCTTCACTAAATAAATTGAGAATAATGAATATCTCTCACATGCAAGTGTAGATCATGGAGGTGTGAGCTTTGCATGTTTGAATTTGATGTGTTGGTAATGAGTTTGGGATAATTTGAGGCATGCATGTAAGTAATTCAAGAAATTGAGCTTCATTGTGTGGTAATTTGGTGTTGGTATCATGTTAGTATGTGTATATGTGAAATTTGAGCCATGGCATGTAAGAAATGTTGGTTAGAGTGTTGAATTTGAGCTCAAGAACCATCCTGGAAAACCCAGAATTTTTGATGTCCGCTCGAGCGGGGGAACCGCCGCTCGAGCGGGGATTTCGAGCTCCTAGTATTTTCTTGCAGGCATGGTGTCCGCTCGAGCGGGGAAGTTCACGCTCGAGCGGGGAGCTATGTAGGATGAACTTCTGCTCGAGCG